AATCACCAAGTGTTATTCTCACCAATTTGTTTTGATTTTTTTTCTCAAATTGGCATGAAAACAAGTACTAAGATTTTTCATCCTCAATCAGAGATGGAGGTGATGGCTATATCAGTTCATGCTAATCCCCTTTTCTCTCGAGAGCTGGCTGAAGCCCAGGTGTGTGTGGCCTCCAGCCGAGCTCTAACACTCCGTTCTGGCCCTCTCCTTCACCCTGCCAGCCTCCTTGCTGGTGGTGTCCGTGGCCAACTCACCTCAGGGCTTTCTCCAATAGAATACGCAATGCAGAGCTAGTCATTTGGAAAGGCTCCAGATCGTGCTCTTCAAAACCCTTTTAGATAATTCGCCATCTTACCCCCTCCCCTCTACACCCACACCCCTCCGCCCCTCGATAACTACTCCCACTCACCCCCCCACCTCCCCCAGCACCCCAAACCCAGCCCCCCGCCCTTGCGACTGGTGCCTTGACCTCAGGGGCAAGAGCGGGTCCCAGCTGAGGAGCATGGGCAGCTGCCAACCAGCGCCGCTTCAACCCCGGCCATCCGGATGATCGCGTTTGTCAAGCCGCCACTCCGCGTCACCCGGCGCAGGTTTGATCATCACAATTAGGCTGGAGCCAGAGACTGCCATCTCGGTCAGCAGAGAGAGAGAGAGAGAGAGAGAGAGAGAGAGAGGGAGAGAGAGAGAGAGAGGCAGGCCATGGTGCAGCTGGAATCCAGGTGGAGGTAACTGCTGTTAAAAAGATGGAAATGTCACTGCAATTAATAGCCTCTCTGAATTCCTTCAACTATTCCTTCCATCAAAGGCAAAAGAATAACTGATCTCAAAAAGCTCTTTTGCAACTTGGCTATGTACTTTTTTAACAACCAACCCACTCAGTCACTAGAGCTCAGTAACACTGAGATTAATAACTGATCATCACTTTGATTTATCAGTCTACTCAGGCTTTAGCAGAGCTCACTAACTGCCTGTTACAACCACCCCTTTTTGTGCACACAGCTGTCTTTGCAGAAAAACCTTTGTCATTTACTGACATGAAAACAAACAGAAACAAAGTGTAGCCTCAAACTGTCAATACACAGCATACAGGTATGTAAAAAGTATGAATGTAAATAAACATGTAATTAGGTAATTAAATGGTAATTAAATGGAACACAAGTAATAACTTACATGGGTTAATAAAATATCTATCAATTTTATTCAGATTAAATGTACACTAACAGTAGGAACACAGAAATGAACACTAGAAACAAACTTCAGACTTGCATGAACTGCAGTGCTGCAGTCATCGCTGCGTGATTATTTCCTGTGTTATATACAAAACAATATTTTATACAATAAACTAGCTAATTTTGGGACATGTGCTCTGTGGTTTCATGTACTCCTGTCACTGAGTGAACCATAACAAGTCGAGTGGGTGGGGGAGGGGTTTTTGACTAGATGTGTCATTTCATTGATAGATACCAATAACAAAAGTAATGATCGCAATAGAACAATAAAAGCAATAATACACTGACACTGGAGCTCCTTTACTTCAATTATCAAAGCAAAGTGGAACATCATTTAGTTTGTTAAAAGAAGAAATATCATGAAGTCGAAATCTAGATCCTGTCTCTAATTTCAAATGTAAAGGTCAACGCCTGAGCTGGGATAGGCTCCAGCACCCCACCGCGACCCAGAAGGATAAGCGATTTAGATGATGTATGTATGTATGTAAGTCAATGCCTGGTTTCCATCGATTTTTTTCGATTTCATGCTGTGTTTAGTTATCTGTGTTTAATTAATATGCATTCATTCAAGTTCAAATGGACCAAATCACCAGATCTAACACGGGGAGTGAAGCACAAAAGCAGGCCTAATCGTGCAGCATATATCGGGCAGCTCAATTCTATAGAGTTATTATGAACATATGTCAAGTGGGTGACCTCAGGTCGCTCTTCAGAGAGACAATGGAAAAGCAATTACTGCAAACAGGGAAAGCACTCGTGGAGGATTTGCACAATGAAAGAGTCATGACCTCATCGCTAGCACAGCTCAGGTAAGGAAAAGGAGCATGGGGGGGGGGCAGCATTCCAAAACACATCTGCATATGTAACCTTTCCTTAGTTACATATAGAAAAATATAGCAATGGTGAGCAGATTATGAAAAAAGGTGCATGTGATCAGAACCTAAAATTAAAGCACTTTCATTTTACACATAGTTATATTGTTAACATTACTATATTCTGAATCAAGGTACAGTCACATGCATAATAAGCCTGTTTTGTTAAGTCAGCTTTATTTAATATGTATTACTGATTTGATACTGCACTGTTTCAAAACAGTCATTTTATTGAGCATACAAAAACAAGCCATAGTCTAATCTTCTGATCCCCAATTTCTTGAACACATGGGGATGGTCAGAATCACTGCTAGTGATACTGTACCGCCACCTTGTGGATAAACTCATTACACAAGGATCACATTTACAGTGGACAAACCTCAGAAAACAATGCTGGAACTTAAATAAAGACTAAACTACTACAATAATGTGTAGTTTTAAGATGTTACCAGTACCAGTTAGTTTGTGTTCCAACAATATGATACTGCACATACAACGGCCCCAAAAAGTATTTGGATATTTGTGCCATATGTAATGTATTATGTAAGGCCCATTTGAAAAGGTAATCTGTGTTTCACACTTTTTTGGAAATAAAATGGTTTTATATAGTATGTAAACATTCTTAAAGTTTCAAAATATACCATCTTCAGTCCATATAGTCCATGTATGGAAAGTAAAATGCAAAAACCCATTTTGAAATCACTGTTTTTGTGATGTCAGTAAAACAAACGCATTTACATATACCACCTATACAGCTTACAGTGGTTTAGCTCCGCCCACTAATGCTTAACTTATAAGAAGGGTTTCAGGATTGATATTTGAATCAGGCACAGTACAGGACTGCCAATCAGAAGAGAGATCATTTACATATCGGTTTTAAAAGGCACAGTAAAAAAACAGCCTGTTTTTAAAACTTTAAAATGATCATGTGAGAATTAATTATGATACATAATTCCACACAAATGTTATGTGGATTTTATGGGAAAAATAAAATACATGAAAAATGTGGGACGTGGGCGCTTTGTCAAACTAAGTGGTGTTTATTTTAAACAGATCATTCCTAGACTATAATTTTATTTATGGTAACATTATTTGTGTTTCATTATTGTCTGAGAGGTTTCTTTGCACGTTGGCTTCCAGAATGCCTTTGAGATCCCATAACTGAACACAAGCTCACCAACTGTACTGTAAGAAAAACAGACCTAGACTTTGCGTTTCCGACTCTGTGCTTTACAGTACAGCAGTCTGTTTGGAATTCTTTTTCCACACAAAGGGTCTAAAATCAACCATCAGTTTGAAACAAGTATATTTATTATACCATTTAAATACCAAACATTAATGAAGTAGCCTCAAGAACCATCAGTTAAATTGTTAAAATGTCCAATTTAGGGTCAGTTGCATTTCTGAACAAAATGTTACAAGAGCTGTGACGATCATTTGTTTAAACCCAATTATTTGATTTATCAACATCAACATTTACATCATCCATGAACTGGTCATACTTGGATGGCAGTTTTCCCAAAGACCATGCACATTTTAAAGCTACACTATGTAAGTTTTAGGGACGTGGACCTCTCTGGTGGAAAAGTGTGCTCATGCGGAAGAACATTTTAGGACGTTGGTTGTGCTCGGACCGCTTCCCTGAACAGATGAATCTGATGTTTGACGTTGAAAGAGCATTTAAAGAGAACTCTTCCGAGGGTATAACTGAATTATCTGCTATTTTCATCATATCTATCAGTATAATGTTGATGTTACATTTGAGATATAAACGTTGAGCCAAATCTTTTTGAGCCTGTGCATGATATTAAAATGTAAAGATGTATGACGCAGTCCGAAAAAGTTCTGCAAAATCCGACCCGATGCCTCAAACTTTTGTTCGAATAATAATTTCAGGCTTTATTTTAGGCGATTCGCAGCAGCGCACGCACACCATATTTTAGCGTGTTTTTTTTGCTCCTGACTCAGAAGCTACTTCTTTCAGTTTTAACAAATAATCTTCCAAACTGCAGCTTTAAATTCTCCTTCTGCTCTCTTTTACAGTAAGAAACAGAGCCTGATGGACAAACGCCTTTAAATGCAACGTTTAAAAAATATATATTTCTGGAATTGACCACAATAATACATCAACACTCGGTGGACTACAGTGTAAAGAGTTATTCTTGAGTTATGGAAGTGTGTACTAGAACTTTGGACCCACTACCCATGGTTTATGGGGTTTAAAGGCTTATTGCTGATTTTTTTGTTAAAGCACATCAAAATTAGTTATTCAAGTAATTGTAGAGTACTTGATTACTAATATAATAAAGTGTTTATTATACCAGGTACCTACAAAAAGTTGTGAATAACAAAATCATTTACTCTATATGGACTGAGAGAGCCCAGCTTTCTTCCTCTTAGACATCTAAAAACAAACACACCAAAAAACAAGGAATTTTTGTACTAAAAGTGCTGCAGCCCATATATATTCTCCACCCATTCACTTGTAGGTGAGTCAGCATACATTTTAGTTATATTTAATACAGGAAATACACAGGAATCGTATGGAAATCTGTTACTCACAACACCTACCACAGTAGAAGGAAATCAGCTCACCCACACACACAGCCCATATGGACTTCCCCTCGCCGTCCGCCCAGGCTGCGGATGCTGGGTCGAGGTGGCCAGAAGCTGCATTTAGGCGTAGACATGCTTCTGTATTGACACCGGCATGTCTAAAATAAGGGTTCAGTTCTACACTTCTATGTCTTAGTCACTTGGTGCTAAGAAGTCCAAGTCATACACACTTTAGCTTTTCCAGCACTACTTTAAAACTTCCACTGTAATAAATCCTGATTAAAACAGAATTATCACTACTGCATCATTAACACTGTATGGTCTTTGGAACTGTACATGCAACAGAGTTGGCAATTAACAGGAAATACATGCTTCCTGACATTTCACAGAACTGCCAAAACAGTCCTCGAGATTTCAGAGCAGAGGTGGGGAACTGAAGGCCGGAGTCCAGCACAGTTTGGTGATTTCCTTGTTCTTGCACACCAAATGAAGCCAGTAATAACTGATGAGTTTAATCCGGTGTGTCAGAACAGGAGAATCACCAAACTGTGCAAGAGAGCTGGAGCTCCCCACCATGTTTTAGAATAAGAGCACGCTACATAAGGCATGAGCAACAGACACAGAGTTTAATAAACTCACCAGCAAGTAGTTCACTATTTAAAGTATCTCTAAAGTCACAATTGAAACTAAATTATATGAAAAAATGAATAATAAACAAGTTCTATGAATAATAAAAAAGTATGTATATGTATTATTGCTTTGCATCAGGAAACTACTACAAATGGCATAGGTGCATCGATAAACCTTAAAGGAATAGCTTGGAGAAAAATACAAATTTCTTTATTTTCCACTCATCCTGAATGCAGTCAACTGGCCAAGACATGTTTGCAAACTTTTCTTCTTAAGTCTTACAACGAGAGCCGCTACACTAAAGGTGCTAAACAACACTAAAAATCAGTAGTCACCCAAACTGTTCCCACAAATACATGCCAAAATCTTCCTACATTTTTTAAAAATGATGTCAACAAGCTAAAAAGTACAAAAAGGATTTAGTAAAACGGCAGAGACAAAACATCTTTACGCTTTTACGCTAAAACTGGAACTATATTATCGTACACATTCTAGTACTATTCTGCCTTCAAACTCTGGGAGGCTGGAGCACAGGGGTGTGGTGTAAAACGTACACCACACCAACATTAGCTGCTAACAAACATCAGCAGCTCCAGTCTTAAACTAAAGATCTGGACATGAAACATCTGACCTACTGCATTTGGGATAAGTGGAAAATCATGTATGTACCTCAGAATCATGTAACTACTTCTTTAACACTCACTAAGAAAGCAAAAATGTATGATTACCTGCTTGGATATGAGTCTTTATCTTATAAACCTGCATCAATGGAGCTTCAGTGAGCCAGAATCAAACCTGAGTTGTGGTGTGTGAAGCTGTAGCATGTTAAGCTACTGCTACCTGCTACTAGGACAGCTCGACACACCATATTTGACAGTTTATTAAATAGACGTGGAACATAAATTTAACACAGTCATATTTCCAAATTTCAACAGTTCGTTAATTTATCCATTTTAGCTAACATGTAACTGCTCTGTAAGCACAGACACATTCTGTGGCTGTAAGCACATTTCTTTGTCGCTGCATTGTAATATTCCCATCAGCATATTGTAGTATATTAGGCTGTGACTTTATTCATGATATACTATATGCTACGTATGTGCAGCATAAATTGTTTTTTTTATTAATTTACTGAGAAAGTATTGTTTCCGATGGACAAATGTGAACTTCACACTATGGTAATACATTTAACACAAAAATACATTTAACACAAAAATAATGAGTCATGCAAGAAACCACATGTGTGCAGGGAATTGTGTGCAACTCAACTGATCCAAAATATTGGAAAACGACACACTAAAAAAAATAAACGAAATGTTAAAAATCCAGGGGCGGCACGGTGGCGCAGTGGGTGGCGCTGTTGCCTCACAGCAAGAATGGCCTGGGTTCAATTCCCGGCCGGGCGACCAGGGTCATTTCTGTGCGAAGTTTGCCTGTTCTCCCTGTGTCTATGTGGGTTTCCTCCGGGTACTCCGGTTTCCTCCCACAGTCCAAAAACATGCAGCCAGGCCAATTGGACATGCTAAATTGCCCCTAGGTGTGTGTGTGAATGTGTATGTCTGTCTGTCTGCCCTGCTATGGACTGGCGACCTGTCCAGGGTGTATCCTGCCTTCCGCTCAATGACAGCTGGGATAGGCTCTAGCACCCCACCGCAACCCCGAAGGATAAGAGGTTTAGATGATATGTGTGTGTGTGTTAAAAATCCAGAGTAAATATATGAATATTGTGTGGCCATTTGACTCAATCCGCCCCAGATATGATGAGCTGTGCATCTCAAATTCATAAGTGTATGAGGCCTCAGCAGACAACTCCCCTCCTTTAGGACCAACTAGCGCTATAGGCTTTGTCACACATCAGCTCTGGGTTTGGGCCGAGGGGGCTTGCCCTTGTTCCGTGCAGGCGAGGAGTCTTGCCGAGTACCTTTCTGTCCCTGGGGTCCTCGCAATTGCCCCGCTTCAGTCATGGGTGCTGGACCCTTCCCCAGCAAGTAGCTTTCCCATTCCGGAAGGTCCCGTTCCACAGAGGCCCAGTAACGAGTCTGAAATACACAGTGTGTAAAAAATGATAAGACTGATTTTATTAAACAGATCTAAAATCAGATCTAAAAGGTCATTAGGAAATACTCTAGAGTTAGTGCACACATGGTTGCACAAATCAACTCAATTCTGTATGACTATGCCAAGTTATGAAAAACAAAACAACTACAATGTTACAGTTAGGCCAAACTATTTTCAATATTTGCGGCATTAATTGGATTTTCTTTGTTTTGGGGTGGCGTGTAGGGAGCAATAAAACTGTAGACATTTGTGATTGTGAACCTCATATATTTTCCAACATGTTTTGAATGTACCTGATAAAAAACAAGGGAGAAAAACATGAGAAATTAAGTACAACTCTGAGAAACCAGAACAAACAGATTTAGTTTACTTCTGTTTCCATTTTTTTATAATATTATATTCACATATTTCAACAGTCAAATATTCAGAAAAGATGAGGAAAATAAATAAACATCCCGTCATAAAAATGTTTAGCACAATATTTTTTTATCGTAAAATAAATGAGATTATTATTATATTGTTTATTTCAATTATATTGGTTACAGCGCTGGCCAATATGATAATCTCTGCATTATCCATGGCTTCCCAGCATGTAGCACAAAAGACACTTGAAATAACTGTGAAGTCATTTATATGAATTATATACCATTTATTTATTTATATGATCCACACTTAATGTTGATGTACTAAAGTGATCAGATAAAACTACAGGCAAATACAGTAATGCTTGGGTGAATTTGGGAATGCAAATTCCTAGCGGGACAGCTTAATGGAAGAATTGCTTGTTGCTTGACATTAATAATAAATTAATTTATACATTACATACATAATTTATACATCATTTAAACTAATCAAATTAATCAATCACCCATTGCAGAACTGACTCTGTGTGTTTTTCCTTTCTTTCCTTTGCCGAGTTGAACAGCTGCCCATCTTGTGCGTTCTGATGCTGCTGCCTCTTCTGCCTTGATCGGGTGCCACTGCTCGCCGTGCAAACCTCACCCTCACAACCTGACCCCACTGATGCTGCTGCTGCTGCATGAACTAAACTATTCAAATTAATTGTTTGCTCCACCTCTTTCCCTGTTTTTGTACTACAATACTTTACACTAACAATGTTTACTATCCGGTGTCGACCAGAGGAGGATGGGTTCCCTTTCTGAGTCTTGGTTCCTCTCGAGGTTTCTTCCTGTTTCTTAGGGAGTTTTTCCTTGCCACTGTCGCCACTGGCTTGCTCATGGGGGCTTGGACCCGGATTTCTTTTTGTAATGCTCATTTCCTTGTAAAGCTGCTTTGTGACAACACCTGTTGTAAAAAGCGCTATATAAATAAACTTTACTTACTATTCTGTTATACAGCACATTTGAGTGTTTTATCATATTGTATTTTGTCACTGTTTCGCATTGTGCCTGACAATACCCCTTGATCTCTCATGGCTTATTGCTTTATATCTTACGCTGGACAGAATGTTAATTAGCTGGTGAATGTCAAACACCACATTGTAATATCACATTATTCTCAGGGTACAAATAGGTTGCTCTTATTGTGTTTGACTGTATAAAGTCACTATTTTGACTTATGCTTAATCTGAAACAACGAGCAAGGCACAATACCTGAAGGTTAAGGACATCAGGATGCAGGAGCGGTCGTGTTCGAAGACAGTTTTCTACTTTCTGGAAATCCTGAAAAAAAAAACAGTGGAACATATATTTGTACAGTGGATCCAACATATTCAACAGATCCCTCGTATTATTCAATGTTTGCATAATATGGTGTGAAACACCACTTCCTGTAGCATGTTTAAAGATGCCATTTATCTCTTTTAAATTATGGCACAGCTTCTTCTTTCTTGAAGTGCTGGAGACAGTAATGACATATAATATTCTCTCAGATTCAAACATTCAAGAAATATTTCAGTGTTTTTCAACCTAATCTCTAACTGCCACAACTGCAGCGTTCTGTCTATTATTACAAAGGATGAAAAACAATGAAAAAACACATTTATAATTCAAGCTGTCTGGCAGTTGCTGAATTCTATCACTAGAACACTTATGTGTACATTATTGCACAACTTCTACAAACTTCATAAATTCTTCAGTCAAAAGTATCTGTAAATTGTAAATGTGACTACATCCCCAGGAGGCAGAATTTGTGGAAATGAGTTAAACATATTGGTGTGGGTGGGGTTTTTATAGTCTCCTTCCTCATGGAATACCAGAAAATCTCAGGGAAAGTGAAAGTAACCAGAACTGCCTATTTACTGTTGCTTTAGTGCTTGAAAGCTAAAGTGTAATGAGAACTGCTTTGATAAGAAATTCTCTCATGACTGCCTGTATTTTTATTGTGTAGCAGTTTTGAATTTACAAAATATAGTCACATTTATCCATGCAATTCAGTGACTGACCATTAACTTCTATTATGAGTGATTTTCAAGTTCTTTTCTAAGTGCAGGGAAACTCACTGACTGTATGATACAGATGTAGCAGATTGAGATTAGGTTGAAAAACTGATATTAGGTAGAAAAACTGTAATATTCCTTTAAATCAATCATTTAAACTGATCAGCCTTTTAGTTCTGTTTGCAACTAATAGTGGGCTTATAATAGTGTGCTTCACTCTTATTCCTGTGGAGTTATTTCCTAACAGCTGATTCATGTCAGCAGCTAATTATCAAGCCCTTCATGAGCCGAATCAAGTGTCATAACAAGGAAAATAGCAAACTGTGCAGTGAATAGAGTGAATGTAAAAAGACTCAGGAGTCTTTATGTGGAAATGAACTACTAATGATTGTGAAAAGCCTCAGCCACTTTAGTTGCAGTTACTGAGCATATATTTCAGTATATCATTACAATGAAGGAGCTTCTCTGAACAGGTATTTAATATACTTTAAAAACATTGTACCTCCAATAATTTCATGTTCCTTTCATGTGCCGCTTCAGACATCATGCCCTGCTGCTTTTTCTTGGCTTTCTGCTGTTCATAGCAAATCTCCATCTGTTGCAGTAAAAGAGCTCTCCTCCCCAAACTGCAAGACAGAAACGCCACAAGACAGTCAGAAGGTGACGTGGATCCACTTTTAGCCAAAAACTTTTTGCAACTGACTGAACTGAGGGCAAAACAAGCATGCTTCCCTAAGAATTTAGGATAGAAATGAACTAAAAAGAACAAAAACGTATTGCTATGATTTAGATGTAATAAAATAAGCAAACCATATACAAGAAAATAAGCACATTATAGACATTCTTCCATAATTTTTAACTACAATAACTTAGTTCCAGTGCAAAACTATTATAAGAGCACATGTCCAATAAGCAGTGCATTACGGCATGGCACTTACAAATACAGAACAAGTACCAATGTCTGTTTCGCACTACATAATAATACCTGTGAAACTAGATAGGATTCTCTGGAAGTTGTGTTATGGTCACATGATTTTCCAAGCTACACTATTATTAACAATAAATATAAACATTAAAAAAAACAATTGATTAGCTTTATTTTCTATTTACCTTCTACTTTAGCATTGAGTTTCAATTGAAAAGCCACAGATAGTAATTCTGGCCAACCAGTGTTTTCAGAAATGGTGGTTGTTTGACCTCAATAATGGATACATTACTGGAGTGAAGACACATCATGATTCTATGATGATTGCATTTGACCAAACAGTGGTCTGCAAAATTCATGACCCCATATTTGTAACTGTTCTGCATTGTACTGTGGAAAACTGCCATAAAAGAAGCAAAATTATGACTACACACATTTTGGTTGATTGACTACTCTCTTAAAAAAGGGACTTCTTCATAGGTTCTTCAGTAAAAGTGACAGTTATAGAACCTGACAACTCAAAGAACCCTGTGAATATTTGATGGAGAAACTGCTGTACATAGTTCTTTAAAGAATCTTTTAAAATTAGTTTTATACAGCACCAAACAGGGATTCACAGGACCTTTTTTGCTTTTGGTATTGCATATAATCCTTTTCGCTAAGAGAGTACATTTGGGTTTAGGGAAAATCTGATTCGATTCTTGGTCAAATCATCCCTTTAACAGTTCCAGTTCAAGTCCTTAATTACTTGGCAACTGGTGTAGCACAGTGTTTCCTAATGCTGCTCCTGGCGAACCACAGCACTGCACAATTTCGCTATTCCCTGCCCGACCCACTTGATCCAGCTCATGAAGGGCTTCATGTTGATGATATATAAAAGGGGTGTCCAATCTAATCTACAAACGGCCGGTGTGGCTGCAGGTTTTCATTACAACAAAGCAGGAGCTCACGTGATTGTCTGAAGTCGTTGACTGACCAACTGATTAAACAAACAGAATCAGCTGAAGTTCTGCTTATTTGGAATGAAAACCTGCAGCCACACCAGCCCTTTGTGGATAAGACTGGACATCCCTGACATATATCTATGGTTGATGAGCTGGATCAGGGTGCTGAATCAAGGAACACTTTAAACTGTGCAGGAGCAGAAAACACTGGTGACACTAAGGCTGAATCTCAAATGGTTCCCTACTTCTGGTGTAGTGCACTACATAAGTCATGAAAAACAGCTTCTACTGGAGCTGGGCAATAGGACAATGGTTATCGCTACCGTGATAAAGTACATCACTACTTTCCAACTGCATGTTTGATTAAAAAGACAGTATAACTAGTCCTGTTTAATTGGATTTAGTGCAGTGCAGTTTGTGAAATGAGGAATACAAGTAATTGGATTCAAAGTTTTTGACAGTATTGTAGTGTGGAGGGTGTACAGAAGACGTTTCGACAGCTCAAACTTTGTGTCTATAGCAAAGCCTTATTTTTCAACTGACTTAGAAGCCAGAGCACAAGAAAGGGAAAGTCCTGCTGCAGAATACCGTTTGGGGCTATGAATGAGTGAACAAACTTTGGTGATGGCAACTCCTAAATGACACTCCTAAAACACAGTACCCCCCGAACCTGCTCAAAAGTTCACATATTCCTGTAAACATTAATGTGGATTGCTTAACAATGCAACCGAAAACCTTCTACTTACTGTGTTTAAAACTAAATACAGCCCAGCTAAGCATGAACAAAGCATCATGGGAAACCAGGCGTTCTCTAATGCCACAGTATTTTTTGAAAATCTGCATTACTTTGTCTGTTCTAACTTATCAGATGTCAGTAAAAATAAATATTGTATATCGTACAAAACAAGTAACGTGATAATGTTTTGCCATTTTGCCCAGCTCTAGCTTCTACACTCAAAAAGTGTATTATATTTTGACCAGAAACTGTTTATAATAGGCTTTTAGCCACACAACTTCTTATATAACACTAACAGCACTGTTTGGGCATTTCTTGACCTGTGCAGTGAGCTATATATGTATGAAAGTAGGGAACCATTTGAGATTCAGCCTGTAAACCTCTGACATACAAAGGACCACATAAACTGCATTTGCGCTGATTTTGTTGTTCATTTGGTTTCCACAGGCAGTATTGATCACTGTCCATCACTACACTGTATATGTCTTTTCATTGGCATGTTTCACACACGTTGCTGAACACTACACACCTTCTTTGCATGGTGAAGTGATTCTTCAGATTGATGGAGAATGTATATGGTTCTATATAGAACTTTTTTGGAAATGGCTCTATATAGCACCAGAAAGGGTTCTGCTATGGTCACAATGCCAAGCTTATAATAATAGAAGAACCCTTTTTGGTGCTATATAGAACCATATACATTTACATTCTTCACCAATCTGAAGAACCATTTTCCTATGTGTTCTTTGCAAAGTAAAATGGTTCTTCAGATTGGTGGAGAACGTGAATGTATATGGTTCTACAGAGCACCAAAAAGAGTTTAATCATGCAAAAAAATGGGTCTATAACCTACAGAATGTAGAACGTATAGTTCTATAGAGAACCATTGCTTTTACTAAAGAACCTTTGAAGAACCATATTTTTTAAGTGTGTACTTGTAACTAACTCCAGTTATGACCTGCGATTTTGTTTTAGTGTCAATACGATTCCGGGGTTTACAGGTTTATCAGTAAGTTAAGCTAAGTTAACCTAGCTAGGTTAACATTACTGGGTCCGCAAGGCAAAACGCAGGACTTACATCTCCTCGTGTTTCTTGCTGAGTTGAACCTCGTCATAGGGGTTAGAGGCCATTCGGATGTTGAGAAAACTAGAAGATTTTATAAGAGAATAAACTCTTTTGGACAGTAATTATTCTTTTCCCATGACTTTCCTTCTGGCTAGCAAACGACGGCCTGTTTACTGTTTAAAGCCGGGCTTTCTCCTCCTCTCCCGGCTCGTTTCAGAGCTCAACAAACCAGCACCAGCGGCTAAATATATTTAGCTACGTCCTCTTGGTAGAAAGTCGTGTACTGAAATGTAACATACGGACTGGACGATACTCCAAAACTACCTGGCTCAAAGAATGAGGCATGTTTTTCCAGAAGCGCAGACCCTTAACTTAGCCTACCGCTACTGAAAGCCTCGCCCGTATCCATGGCTACACTAATCCAGCGCGATCATTGGCTTATAGCGGATCAGCTGGTAGACGGGGGATGGGTATTAACAGATGTGAAAGGGAGCCATCTGCTGGTAAGACCAGGGAAAGACAATGCTATTTTTTTCCTTTTTTCCATGATTTTATTCCCCGTGAAAGTACACCTAAGAAAAAATTAGACTTTAGAGTTTAGTTAAGATTCACATCGAAAGTTAAGATGAAGTTTTTAAGTTAAGTTTTATGAAAACAGATTAATTTCAAAGCAATTTTCTTCAATTCTGCTCAAAATTGATTCTGCACTGTCCATTATGAAGTCTATCACAATATCAGAGTAGAATACAGTACTCGAAATATTCTGAAAGGTCACAATAACACGACCAAAAACACTTTATAACATCTCTTCTGTTTGGTTTCCTCTCACTTCCATGATCCTCAGTGAGCCAGTGCCGTTTTTTAGCAGCAGATGGCAGAATAAGCTTGAAAACGGCATTGTGGAGCTCCTCTGCTCTGTGCACCAACAAACTGAGAACATTCTTTAGTCTGTCGGCCTTTAAGTATGCTCAGAGTCATTGAAGAGTAATTAAAGTCATTTTAAAAAATTGCATTTGGTTTGAATAGTCGATACATATTCATTCAGCTGGACTATAAATTCCATGGGCATGCCTAAGCAACAACATGAACCTGCTGTGAGAAATAAAAGAGGCCAGAATCAAACTTTAAATAGATAATGACTATATTCAGAACAAACATATAAGAAATAGTTATTTGCCAAAAAAGAAAGAAAACACTGTGTGCAGGAATATATCAAAAAGTATATTTAAAAAAGAGTCTAAATTTGTTCGAAGTAGACTGCCTGCTTGTCACAATAGTGAGAAAATATGTTTTTTGCAAAAGTTTGGGTACCCCAGGCAAATTACATTTTGTTAATTAGTTGTTAATATAAATAAGGTAACACATCCTGCACAGAGAACACAATTCTGCACATTTGAATGCACACTGAATGTAACATACGGGGGAATAATAAAACATGATAACAGTGTGCCCAGGGGTACTCAGCTATATAAGTTATACGGCTGTATAGGTAAGACAGAAAAGCTATGAGAAAAGCACAGAAAAGAAACTGGCTGTTCTCTTCAGATGTGAGATGTGAGAAGTGTTACCAATATGTACCTCACTCTCTCTCTCTCTCTCTCTCTCTCTCTCTCTCTCTCTCTCTCTCACTCTCTCTCTCTCTCTCCCCCTCTCTAGAGGTCATTCCGAATGTCATATGCAGCATCGTATTTTCAATTTTCAGGTGTTTGTTATCATTCATCACACTGAAAGTCTGCACTGTGTAGAGGCCCACAGGGATCAGAATCAGATCTGCCTTTTAGAGTCCCACTTCATCAATCTGTGGAGTGGTGGGACACCTGCACACACACACATACCCCATCTAGTACACACACACACACACACACACACACACACACACACACACACACCTCAACTTGTACACACACACACACATACACACACACACACATACCTCAATTTGCACACACACACACACACACACACACACATACCTGTCTACATTTGTATATGCACACACACAAAAATATACCTGTCTACATTTGTATACACACACACACACACACACACACGTACACAAACACACAAAAACATACATCCCTCCAGCTGCATACACACACACACACACACACACACACACACACACACACACACACGAAAACATAGATGCTTCTATTTGTTTGCAACAATGGCTGGAGCATGGGAATCACACTGGAGCCCAGGGGCCCTTGGCAACCAGGACCCCCCTAAAATCTTTATTGGGCCCTTCATATAGATTTTGATACAAATTTAAACTCATATTCTTAATGACACACCTGTTAGCTTCTATCAACACTGCACAGACAGCCCTGATTTCTGTTTATCTCCCTCTTATTCAAAATTCATCTCATTTGCAGTAACCATTTTCAAAGAACAGCGAGTAAACAAGCAAATTAAATTTTTTATGTACTGATAGTAATTTTCGTATGGGGGGCATTTTATTTGCAATGGGGCTCATAAAATCCAAGTTGTGCCACTGGTATATACACACACACACACACACACACACACACAAAAACATACATGCTTCCATTTGCTTCCAGCCTCTTAACAACTAGGCTACTGTAAATGTGTTCATTTTTTAACTAAATGTATGCAGTATTATTTTGGAAATACCTCCCATAGTTTAATTCATTTCTACTCAAAACAGATATTCAAAACAGAGTTCATTTTCAGGCCTCAATGTTGCTGAATGTGTTTGAGGTTATTTGGATTGTGAGAAGCAGAAAGTGCAACCAACTTCTAGGACTGAACTTTGGAAGTGTGAAAAATATCCCTGCAGATTTCTTTGAAAAACTGAAAGCAAGGCACCTGAAAAGAATGGAAGCTACAACAAAGGTAAAGGGGGGAACACAAAATACTGGAAAAGCAAATAAGAAATTTAGAAATGTAATACTATCTTAAGTTATCAAGGCTCCTAATATGTTTAATACTATCTTAAGTTATCAAGGCTCCCTGCTGTTTCTCCTTACGCCAAAAGGAATAACTTGTATTTAACGGCTGTTTTGACTGGAAACGAAATAAATGAGGGGTGTTTTCTGAGTTGCACAGTACTATACATGGTGGTAATGATATTTTTAAATGATGTGGAATCATTATTACAATATTACTCATGGAAAGTGCTTAGGCATGCTGATAAAGAGAGAGAGAGGGGGAAGGAGAGAAAGTGAGTGATTGATTATTCTGTGATCTTCTGCCTTTGTGGTTTGATTAAAGCCTCTATGATTTATCAGCTCGCAGCATTGTTATGCTATGTACAGTAGCTCTCTGAGTGTGTGCGTACGCGTGTGGAGGTATAATGAGTTTTACACATTACACCGAGGATAAAATACAACATCTGAAGCCCTGCCAACTGTACTGGAATAAACACGGCAACTCTCTCCACAGCTCTCTCTCCCTCTCTCTCTCACTCCATACTGACACTTGTATTAAAATAGGACTCCTCCCCCGTCGTGCATTAGACACATATTAGATTATTTAGCGCTTGATGGATGTGTTTACTTCAACGTGTGAATGCCTGCAGTGTTTTCAGGGTGCACCAGTAAATCTGCCTGATTGGCTGTTAAAGCGTTCCTCATTGATGGTGAAATTGCTATTGCTTCTTTGGCACAGATTCACGTGGCAAGCGTCTGCCATCACGTAATGTCTGTCATTTAATAACTACTAGTGATTTTTAATCTGATTTTAAAGGGCATAAATAGAACAAAACTTTCCTCACCTGTTTTTTTTTAAATAAGGACGTTTGATGTAATGTGTAAACCCTGGTAAAAGCTTCAGAGCATATCATTCATTTCCTAATCCATATGACCTAAATATGTAATTTACTTTGAATGTATTGTTTTTGTGATGTCACGAAAACAAATATACTTCATATATCCACCTATCCAGCCTGCAGCAGTTTAGTTCCACCCATTCACACAGGTGTTAAAAAAGGTGGAAAGAAGTGGGAGAGTGCATGCGCATGTTCACCTAAAGGGGTACTCAGCATCTTTGTCCTATGGTGAAACATTTCTATCCTGATGGGAGTGATCCCTTCCAGGAAGACCCCCAGGAGTACCCCCATCCACATGGTACATAGGGTCAATAAATACTAGGTATGAAAATCATGTAAATTATATGATATGACCTCAACTCACTTGAACAAATAAGGGAGGTTTGGACTGATGTGTTAGCGCTCTAAACCATCATCAAAACATCAGTTGAGGAAATGTCTGTTGGAAGAATGCTTTTTTCAAATGGTGTAAAAAAACAATAACAACAAAAGTATTACTACTTTTTGATGATGTACAGAAAAATTTTGTCATTCCAAAGTTTCAATACCCACTTATAAGCCTAATTATTTCCTTAGATAAAGCCTAAGTGCGGAGATTAAACTTAGCATTGTATTGTCTGTAATCAAGAACACTGTGTACGATTGTCCGCATTTTTGCTGAAATGGCACAAAATACGAAGAATGTGTTTTATCCATACAGCTCCAGTGAGTTGTAGAATCTATGGCAAGGTGCACTGAAGCTGTTCTGGTGGCACCTCACTAAGGCACTTTATGTTGGTTTTTCCTGTAGTTTGTCACACATTTATACATCAACAGATCACTGTTTTGTAATTTAAGACCATTTCTATTTAGCCTTTAGTCATGCAATGTTCACACAGCTACAGGTGTTTTCATATGGTCTAAGAAAAACCTAAAACATATTACTAGGTTTGAATTATATATAGAAGAATTTTGCTATTCCAAAGGTTTGATACGCATTCAGAAGCCGTATGGTTTTCTCAGGTAAAACCTGAATACGGAGATTAAACTCAACATATCGTCTGTGATCAAGAACACTGTGTACGATTGTCTGCGTTTTTACTGGAATGGCACAAACGATGTTTTGTCTTTTTTTTCATATTTCTCGAAACCCCCTCATTGTTGTATCTGAAATGTCTAAATCTTCCTTTAGGCTGAGGTTAAATCCTCGTCACTGGTATGCACCGGGGCAAGTGAGTTCTGTGTACTTCCTGGTTGGTGGGGTGGGTTGCGATTGCTGGTTTGCACTTTGTACTTCCTGTCTCTGATGGGCTGGGCCCCCCGGCACTTCCTGCCTGGCGGGGCGGAGGGCGCGATGTGACCTTGCCTCGTGTGTTTTTCCCGCTGCTTCTGTCCCCTGGAGCCGCAATAAGATGGAGGACACGCTACACCACAGGTGGACCAGAGGAAATGCACAAGGGAACACACACGAGGATGCGCAAGGAGAGGTTCATATGCAGACGGACACGTGTTCATACACTCACACACATATTATATAATTATTTATGCATTAGTGTATATAGCAGATGCTGCAGTGATTTGTGAAGTATGTTGAAGTTATTATTACAATAAGCCTTTAAAATCCACCTAGTAGCTTCACTGAGTATTTAAATAATAATCCTAGCATTTAAAGGGTTAATGTGTCGTAATGAGATTTAACACATCCTCTGTAGTACACCTACCTTATATGTCCTCTCACTGGTCACTTTATTAGAAACACCAACTTTATACTTCTATTCGCTGACCACTTTATTAGAAATGCCTACCTTGCACGTCCACTCCCTGCTCACTTTATTAGAAACACCTACCTTGTGTTTTCACTTACTGGCCACTTTATCAGAAATGCCTACCTTGCACGTCCACTCCCTGCTCACTTTATTAGAAACACCTACCTTGTGTTTTCACTTACTGGCCACTTTATCAGAAACACCTACCTTGTATGCCCACTCACTGGCCACTTTATTAGAAACACCTACCTTGTACTTCTAATCACTGGTCACTTTATCAGAAACACTTATCTTGTATATCTACTCACTGGTCACTTAATTAGAAACACTTGCCTTGCACTTTCACTAACTGGCCACTTCATTAGAAACACCTACCTAGCGCATCAACTCACTGGTCACTTTATCAGAAACTCATATCTTGTGCTTCCATTCACTGGCCACTTTATTATAACCCCCTACCCTGTATGTCCCTTCACTGGTCACTTTATTAGAAACACCTACCTTGTGCGTCCACTCACTGGTCACTTTATCAGAAACATATACCTTATACACCCACTCACTGGCCACTTTATTAGAAACACCTACCTAGTGCATCAACTCATTGGTCACTTAGTCAGAAACTCATACCTTGTGCTTCCACTCACTGGCCACTTTATTAGAAACACCTACCTTGTATGTTCATTCACTGGCCACTTTATTAGAAACTCATAACTTGCACACCCACTCACTG